AGTTCAACAAGCATAATGTTAATCTTCTACTAATTAAGTTCTTAATTCATCAAATGTTAGAATCAACCTTAAAGTATGACTTTGTTAATAATTTTACCCAACACTTTTCAAATACAAGTACTGTATGTATGCACTATCAAAAGAATTCCGGAGGTACTGTTTCATTATTAACCTAAACTAAAGACAGATTACATGTCACATAGTTGGACAATATTGATGTCGGGAGGACAGATGTGCATTGACTGACAAGTGCATCTTAATTTGCCCCACATTATTGGCCACAATTAAATGATGGAGAGTCTTATAAAGAGAGGTGGATGTCTATAGAGGCTGTATGGTCATTGATAATTGGACAGTGAGTCCATTGAATGCATTATCTCATAGATGGAGATAAAGAGTTTGCTTTTGATGTCTTTCATCAAATGTCTCACTGTATGCTTGGTTTGCATAACTCACTGTCCACACAGGGACCTGTCACAGAGTAACCACTATACTGGTATCTCAAACCACATCACTAGGCTGCTTTTTGTATGTTGGACTCTTCAGCAGGCCTGTAATACTTTTTCTGTTCACATTGCAGTAAGTTTTTTTTTTTTTTTGGTGAATTGCACCATATTTCTTCATTCAAAAGTGATGGATTGAAAGGCTGTCCTGTTGTCTGCTCAGTGATCTGCTTGTGCTGTTGTGGAACCTGACTTGGGCCAGTATAAGTCAAGCACACACACCAGTGATGCTTCCCTTTTCTTGTGGAAAAAATACTCAAAATCTGTTCAGCCTGAAACAAGGCATAGGATTTATTGCAAAGCAGTTACAGCAAGCAATACCCGTTTCTGGTTTATGAAGCAGAACAGTTTACAGAGCTCCTGCAGCAGCTGTTGTACCCTCTCCACACACCTTCTAGTCTCGCATGCTCTATTGGGCCTTTCTCTCTTTGACCTCCATGACCATAGACACCACCTAGAGGGGTCAGCTTTAGGCGCCTTTCCAGACATTACAAAAACAAAAGTAATAAATTTAATAAGCATGCAAGTGACATAACAACTGTAGATCCTTTGATGATTGACATTACTAATGAGCAAACAATAACTTCTTGACACATGTGCAATATTAATGATGCCTCCAAACACCTCCAGACATCATAAGCTAGTCAAAGACTCGACATTGAGGCGACAAACGGTAACATGCAACATATCACTTTGTCTTATAAATATTCCCAACTCGTTAAAAAGGTAATGCACCCGGGTGACACCCGGGTCACGTCCCAGTCACTCTTGGTCATCCATATGTACCACATTACAGAGCAAGTACCATAAGTACTGATGAATGAATGGCAGTGAGGTAACACAAACATTACAATTTAATAAAATAAGTATAAATTAAAATAAGATGAGCATAAATATAATATGTGACATAGGCAAAATATAATAACTGAAATAAACATAAGTACAGCATGAGAATAAAACTTATTCTAATCCTATAACCCCCTTGGTCTCCCACAGTGCACTCACTGTGTCACTTTTTGTCTCCAGAGTCTCCTCATCTGCTAAAGTCAGTGTCTTGAGAAAGATAACATTACTTCACTACAGGAAACATTTATGGCAGCAGCCCGGAAGATGCAGCAGAAGTAAACCAGACATCAAATACACAAAAGTGTCAACAATCCAAAACCTGAGACTTATCACTGGAATATTATCATAAGTAGCAGCAGCTCTATGCCTACAATCTGACCCTTTGTAATGAGTTTGAACTTATCAAACTACAGTATTACACCCATATAATTAACTGTTGCCATATAAACATAATGTATTCTAATGTGGTCTTGATGCAGCTTTGCTTGGAGTCTTCTCATTTCCAGCTATTTATGGTTTAATTGTTGTGACCTTTTTTTGACCAGCGTTGGTGGAAAAAAGGGGCATTATTTGGAGATTACATTCTGAAATGTATCCTGACCTCCAGGGCAATCCATAATGCATGAAAAATGTCCTCAAATGCAGTGCTTCAAATAAATATGTCATATATATATATATGTGTGTGTGTGTGTGTGTGTGTGTGTGTGTGTGTGTGTGTGTGTGTGTGTGTGTGTGTATATGTATATATATATGTGTATATGTATGTATGTATATATGTATATGTGTGTGTGTGTGTGTGTGTGTGTGTGTGTGTGTGTGTGTATATATATATATATATGTGTATATATGTATGTATGTATATATATATATATATATGTGTTTGTGTTTTTTTTTGCTTTATTCTTGGCCATGAAAAGAAGCTTGATTGATCAAAATTCAGTTTCCTGACCCATCATCAAGTGTGCAAATATCAAATCAACTTTAAAGGTAAAAGACTGCAAGGAGCCAACAGAGGGAGGAGATGTGGTGATGCTATGTGCTGTTGCTTTTGAGAATTTTAACAATTTGTTTATGACAAGTGAAAGTCTTTTGATGAATTCTAACGGAAGCTTCTTTTTCACACCAGTAGGCTGTTATTTCTGACAGTGAATTTTCTCACACCATGCACACACACACATATTGATTAAATCTAATTCATGTTACTGTTACCGTGACTAGCTACTAATGACAAATGTAAATTTAATGGATTACCTCATGGAGTCATTCAATTTAACAGGGACTGTGAGTCCACAGTGCTACAGGAAATAACCCTGAGATTAACCAACAAATGTCAGGACACTATAAGAAAGCATGAGAAGGTAATCTCTATTTTACCATGTATACTCCTAATTTATATGCATGAAAACAACCGGTATGACAAGATTTTTTTTTTTTTTTCCATGGGAATACATTCAGATGTGCAAGTTTGTCTGCAGCCGTGTGGGAACCAGTAACAAAAATGTCAGTTTTTATTAGAACATGTCTGATTAACCATTATCATTACCCACACAGTGTGAAATTGATCTTCGTAGCTGTCCAAATATATGCAAAGAAAACATTAATACATGCTGAATTCATCTTTGCCTGTTAACAGTAGAGGAATAGGGTCAGGGTTGGCCTACATATACTTCACATGTTGCTTTGGCTGACTGTGACTGGTAAATAACACACCCAGCCCACCACCTCCACATGTTAAAAATTTATTCTGTAGTGTGCAAGAGTGGTTTTCTTATCTACTGGCAGAACAGAAGGCACACACAGTCCCATTCTCAGTGCATGTGGAAATGTTCAGTAACACTTGCAGTGTTCCAAGCAACTTTAATGCAGAGATGAACGACCAGCGCATTTCAGCAGAAAGCCTTCCTCATGGTCTATTGAAAATATACAACAAGGAGTTCCACAAATAGTGTAAGTATAGAAAAAAGAAAAAAACTTGACTTTACTTGACTTGTTATTCAGTTGGGAGACGACTGCTCTACCCACTGAACCACACAAAGGCTTTATGCAGAAACACATTGGTCTTTTGTCTTTGCATTAAAGTTGCTTGGAATACGGCAAGTGTTGCCAGACATTTTTCTTTACAGTTTGTTTTCCTGCATTTTTGCACCTTGACAGAGGGTGAAGTTGCACTTGTAACTTCTGCTGCATGTGGAAACGTTCACCATAAAATAATTAAAGCGCATGGTTGAACCCTGTCCTCAAATATGGTCTACAGCAGAGATTCTCAAACTTCATATTCAAAGATCTGAATCTGATTTCTATTCAAGGTCCAGAACAATTGGTGATAAGCAAATTACTTTTATTAACTTGCTTATAACTTACAAGCAACATACACTCAAGTTTAAGGCAGTCTGAGACAAAACACATTTAAGCCTAGTGAAAAAATGTCACTGTTTGACTGAGGCCTCAGTGGCTCTCTCTTTCTGTGTCATAGATCTCCTAAACAACTTTTTTGTTGAGTGATAGGAAGATTTTAACTGTTTTTACTGTCCTCACCTCTGTATTCTCAGTCTCTGTGCAAATCAAATACACAGGCTTCGTGTTGGACTGGGGCAAAATTACCATTCATCTTTGAAAACTGAGTCTTCAAAGATGAGTGGACGCTTATGCATCCAGTAGTTGGTGAGACATTTCATTCCAGGTGTTTTGCATTTACATTCACCATACACAAGTTCCTCACAGTCTTTCTTTATTCAATGTACATTGATACACAGCTTGATAGGACCATGCAGATAAGAAAATGGCTCTGGATGGGTGAAATGTTAAAGATAGAAAGCTGCAGGCTTAGTTTCCTAAAAACAATCTTCATTCTATCACCAGCTTTTGTACCATCTACACACAGAAAATACAGGTAATTTTGGGAAACGTAGTCCTAAACAGTACAGAAATGATGATGCAACTATGAGGTTGGGTTAAGTACAAAAACATATTCTAACACAAACACCAGGTAGACCTCATGGGACTTGATATATGGGACATATATGGCAGGACAGAAACCAAATCTTTGTTACTTATTTATTGATACAGCAGTCGGGTAAATAATGGTATTTATAATAATAGTGTAATTCAAATTCACAGACATGTCATATGTTGAACAAGCTATTGCATTCTCTCCCCCCAACCCCATCACAACCCCTAGAGTTCCAACTGGTATGAATTTGTATACATGCAAATATCACACCATCATCACTGTGCCATCGCTTCCACTTGCCATCTCTGTACACAGCAGCAGAGCAACATGGCACTCACTAGGACTTCTCATCACGCTTCTTCTTCTGGAACTTCCTGAACTGAGACTGGATGGCAACAGCTGCCTTTTCGGTCTCTGGGTTGTCCATGTCAATGTCAAAGTCCTCTGGGACGTTCGTCTTGGATACATCTAGAAAGAAAAGGAAAAGATGGGTGTGGCTCACAGAAATGTACAAGGAGCGGCCTGATTCACAGATTCATCAGTTATTTGCTACGTGACTCGACATTCACTGTGTAATTCTAGACTCAAACGTGCCATCTGGTTTAGTTTCTTCACTGTAACCCAGGAACATTCAGGACTTCAAGAGACCTAGCATTTACCCAAGCAGTTTGTATTATGGCTCTAACATCTGCCTTGACCTGCTCATGTCACAAGGAATAAAGGTCAGTTAGCTGCTTTTACCTTTTTATTTTTCACAGTAGCTAATGAGTTCTCTAAAAAGCTCAGTATGGGGCTATTCCATTTCTCCTCCTCCCTCTACAAAGGACTGATCTACTTGGGTTTGATCAGCAGAGCCTACTGTAGAGAACCAAGCATCAGAGACAGTGAGAAAGAGAGGGGGATGTGAAGAGTACCAAAGCAGAAAATGTAACTCACATATTGATTGTGCAGCTAATCCTTGAACTCCCTTGGGTTGAGCTTGAGTACCTCTCTTTTGCTCTTCAAGGAGGAAATGCTAACTGCTGTGTCAAGTTGAGCTTTGAATCCTGCATTAATTGATATTGAATTTTCCAACACTCTAATGGCTGCTATTTTCATCCAGGTAGCATTAGCCATTGAGCTGTGCACCATGCTGTGTCAACACCAGACATTAATAATGTTTGCATTACAAGCTGGTGACAATATTATTAAGATGTCAAGAGTTGCAGGGACTCCTGTAAATGTGATGAGAGAGAACAGGTGCAGCTCAGCAAAGTAATAATCAAAGTCAAGTTTTCTTTATTACAGCCAGAGATATACTAGTGTCAAGGGATGGTCCATTTATAGTAAATAGTTCAAGGGTCAGTATGAATTAACCAAAGACTTGTGACATTGAGGAGCACTTATGATTGATGTATATTTGCTCTGTTTTCCATTCACTTCTGTTGAAGCACATACAGTGGACGAATAGCCAATAGAAACATTGCTGCACCTATTTAGAAAGCGACAAGTTACAGTTCTAGCATCACAAGCTGCAGAATCACTCCCAAACATGGCATTTGTGATCGCTCTGATCAATACTTATTTAAAATATGCATCAGAAAATCGACATCTGGGGCCAAATATGGGGTAATTTTGCAGGAGCTGCAATGTCACTATACTGTAATAGTGAGAAGTGTCAGCGTATTACACCTACATGAATGTGATTGGATGTTAGTAGTCAGCTTACAGCTACACAGCTGTGAGTGAGCCAGTGACTGTGAAGCATGAATGAAAGAGCTGATACCAGTCAACTAAAAGTGCAATGTCTGTGTTTTGCCTGAGCTAACAGAGAACAATGCAATGGTGAATGAGTTTTTATCAGCATGTACTGAATGAAGAAGTGTTTTTTTACAGCTTTACATTAAATCTTTTCTACGTTTTCTTTCAATCCATTGTAGCACAAACTAACTTATTAACTAACTAAATTAAATTCAGCTGACCATGAAAACATGTAGCTTATTACTTTGGCAACATTTAGTTTTCATCCAGCAACAGTCGCATTAACAACACTAACAGTTCTAGCAACATTTAAGGCTGATCACTTTAATGCAGCATTTACTTGACAGTTCAGTTATCAGCTATTCCAGTTTAGGTCTCTGTCCAGTACGTGTTTTTGTAACTATACAAATTAATCAAGGCCAATTTAGTATTTCAGAGGAATTGGACACATTCATCTACAAGATCCTACAAGTCCTGAGGGCAGATTTTCATCATTTTAATAAGACGGGAGGCAGTGGGCGAATGTGACAATGACGGATCATTCTCCTCGGATTGAGGATTCATCTTTTTCTTCACAAACACACGCAATGGATCATCAAACCTATTACCTCTGGCAGCACTTTCTGTGTCCCTGTCTTGGCCTAATGGGAGTGTAATATCTGCTGTCAATGTCATTTTTGCTTCCAGTGAAAAGGAAAAAAATGTATTTATCTAAGGTGCTGTCTTACTTTCTTCAGACATGACTTTCCTGAATGTTGCACATTTAGCTTACGTAGATGGAAAGGGATTTATAAGTAACATAATAAGACCATTCTTGGTTGGGTGTCTTTCACAATGTCTTTTAAAAGTTTCTCTGAAGTCTTATTGATTTCACTGCTTAAAACCAGCTGAGCAATGTGAGGGATATGGGGCAGCGGAGGACGATGCACATTAAACGAGGACTTTTGAGACAACAAAGTCTGTAGAAAGTAGACTTGAGACTCAGTATTTAAAAAGTGTGTTACACAGTTATTCAACATCTATTTGGTCTTAAGTTGGTGTGGAGACTTATGTTGATTTTATTATTTTGTTAGTGTTCATATTTCCAATCTACAAAGACGCAAAAGTATGCCGCATCTAGGTAATTATAAATTAACACACCAAGAAATTATTTGGACTATTTGCAACATAATTATATCTGAATGCCAGTGGTGACAATGAAACACATTGAAGAATGACTTAATTTATTCTCAAATATAAAAAATAAATGTAAATAATGCTTTACCATATAAACAAACACAAGATTAATAGAAGACTAACATGAGTAAATGTTTTGTAAGCAAAATGCTGCATTTTTTCATCTTTATATTATATTAACTGAATTGCTTTGGGGGTTTTGGTGATTTCTTGTCAACATTTTGGTCCTAGCTTTGTTTTTTCCACTCTTCTGTAGATGTAATTCATCATAGAGGCTCTAGATGTCTCCAGACCTTCCTTCTGACTCTGACCTGCACACCTGTCTCATCCTCTGATTGTCCAGTCCCGAATTCCACACCCACCACACCTGTTTCCTCTTCCCTCACCAGCTCCCCCGTATGGTCTGATCTGTTTCCATTACTGTTCCGGCCCTTCCTGTGCCCATGTATCTTGTTTATGGATTTTTTTATCTATTTCTGGACCCAGCTTGTTTTGGACTTTGTCTTTTCCTTTTCCCCAGTTGAATTGTTTTTTTCCTGATTTGTTTTTAACCCTTCTCTGGACCAGGACTTTGCCTTTGATTCCCCCTGCCTGGTCTTGTCTGCCTTGACTCAAAGTCTCTTGTGTTGTCTAAAGTTATCTGCCACTTGTGCTTCCTAAATGGACAGATTGATATCCCAGAAGTTTAAATGACTTGGTGTCACACTGTGATGATGAAGTGTTCCTTTCTTGTTTTTTTAGCAGTTTATAAGACAATACGAATGCCACTGATATAATTCAGAACCATTAGCAGGTTTAACTACTGAAAGTAAATGGAAATGATATTAAACAAGTAGGATGAGTGGATTCTGGCATGAAAGATGTGAACTGTGTTACACAGCATGGGCAGTGCCTGCAGTGTTTGACAATCTGCCTTATATATTATGGATGGAGTGACCTCTAAGTTTTAATACTGTAGATGCATGTACATTTCATCTGTAGTGTATAGAAAGGATAAAGAATCTCAGCATGTGCTGAGTTCACAAAACTGAACAAAAAGTGTGAACCACTTAGAGTACAGTGTTTTTCATGTCAGTACCTGGTGCTATTACACCAGGCATTTGCAAGCAAGTGACAAGATAAATCTGTTCTTTAGTCCTAGTCACCCTGTAATGTTACTTCTCAAAAAGCACCTTACACCATATTACAGATATAAATGTGTCAGGAGAGAGGCAGCGCTATTACTCCAGTGGCCATGGCATGTAAGAATAAAATATCCACCATTCAAAGCTGAAGAATCTGGACTCAAAGGCAACTTGCATGTTTCGAGAGATAGGAGTGTTCAAGTGTGTGTATGGTGTAAAAGCAGACAATCTGCCTTATGTATTATGGATGGAGTGACCTCTAAGTTTTAATACTGTGTCTGCCAGTGTTTGTGTGTCTATACTGTAGTTGAAAGTCAGGAAAATATCAGTAACCCCTAAGGCCTTAAAACAACAGAGCAGCAAAGCATGAGAGAGATCACAGCAATCAATACACAAATATACATGAAGGACTAGCTCTTTATTGATTAGTACTGTGTGCTTGGTTTTTAACTGTGTGTAAACTTTTAGTTTGCTTTGGAGAGGAACGGTCTGTGTAACCTACCTGGGCATAGTCACACCATTTATTAAAAAAAACTGAAGCCAGGACATGTGGGAGGTTCAGAGACCTACAGAGGAAATATGTGGTTTCAGCTTTTTCTAAAATGTTTCTGAAACAGCATTGTGGTGTGCATTTACTAACAGTACCTGACAAAATAACATCAATTCATTATGGCTATAACTGAGTACAGTAACACTAATTAAAAAATAGAAAATGGGTCATCTCCACTTTGAGAGCTTGTCGTGAGCTAATTATAAAAGACTTTGATCTCTAAGGTGAGCCGGTTTTGAAATCATGTCTATGCCTGTTTGGGTGGGGGTTGGGTGGAGGTACTGATGGTGTAGCAGTTTCCACTCTGTCCTTCTTTACATAAAGAATTAGAGCAGTTTTCACCTGTCGTGTCCCAAACAAATAGGCAGATGATTATTTCATAAATGATAACATCCTAACAAAGGATTGCCTCGTGCCACTTGTTAATGCTCCTGTTAGTGTTGTTGGCTTGTAGAATTTGGTGTAAAGCTGTAAAGCCCTTGGTGCCCCAGCTGTTGTGGTGACAGTGACATTTTGTGTTGTATTTGGACCCATAAGGTCAGTGAACATATGCTGAGCATATGGCCTAAATACACAACATCTGGATTCCCAGCATGTCACACAATGTAATTAAATGCAGTTAATGGGTATTCATGCTTGAATATTTGAGCTACTTATAATCCACTTCACTTCAGAGGGAAATATTGTACTTCTCACCTCCAGTAGTTTTATTTTTAGCTATAACAACTACATTACTTTATAGATACAATTTATATAAAAAAATGATGTTTAGCATGGAAATATAAAGTGTAGACAGAAAACATGAGGTGTGGAATCACCTGAACTCTTATAGCACTGATAAGTTACTGTCAATGAAGCCCAATACCTCTGACAGTTTTACAAAATAAATTTTAATATGAAACATATTTCTTCCTGTGCAGAAGTGTTGCATAATTTCACTGACAGTATTTCTGTTATAGGAGTAAAGCTGTGAATTCATTAAAATAACAGCTAATGTGGAGGATACTTTACATTAAGAGCAAGCATAAGAATTACAATTGGAGTAGATCAGGAAATGAGAGCACCTTTAACAGATCAACTATGCAACACAGACGTGTCTCTTATATAAGCTTGGTATAAATGAACGCTTTGATCTATCTGGAATTTAAGTAAATATTATTACTAGTTGTGAAATTACAGTAAAGCAGTAAACACTGCTCCACTTCCACCAGCTATAACATGAAAGTTAATGATAATCCAATAATACATGAAACAACAGAACACTGTGAAAGAAGGCTTTCAGCACAAGATGATGATTACAGCCTTACTTGTATTAGAGTATTTTCACACTGTGGTATTGGTATATAAATACTACCTAGGGAAATTATACAGTACTTTTCGCATTTTTTTTTTTAGAAATTTTAACAGCTGGAACAAGGATAAACATAAGCACTGGCAGTGACCATGTGTCTCCTCTGCAGTTTGTATTTTAATAGAGGCATGAAGGAGAAAACCAGAAAAGATTTGATTTGATCCACTTGATAAACATTCAAAGTTGTGCCATTATCTTTACAATAAACACTCCTATCACTCCCCGTTACTGTGCTTATCAGGTAAACCACCTTTGCTGCATTGCAGAGGTGCACCACAGCTGCATTTACATGTGCAGTTCACAGTTCCAGTAAATACAAATCCATTGCTCTGTGTCTGTCCTTGAGCCAGTGAGAGGTTGTCTCTAATGACTGCGCTCTGCTGTATGCAGAGTGGGCGAGAGTCAGTTGCAGCATTTCTCCTCCTCACTTTAAGAGCTCACTCTCTCCACCCAAGTGTCTCCATACACTGAGTGAGACACTCTCTACTGAGAGACGCACTTCTGTCACTCTGGGAAAGCAGCTTTTTCAGGCTTCAAATTAATTGTCAAGGTCAGACAACAAAGGAATGATTCGTAGTTGTGTGTGTTTATAGTGTTGTCTGTGTGCTCTGCCTTCACTCTATTTATTTATTTATTTTGTGAATACAAATGTCGACCTGCATCCTACAGGCAGTGAACATTCATTCTCCTGCAGTCTTTCATCTCAGCCAACTGCTCGAGGTAAACTGGATCCTTTTAATTGCTGTTGGTGAATAATGGTGCTGAACAGTGACTCTGTTTAACAGGGTGATTCCCCTTGCCCCCAAAAAAGTGTGTCAGTACTGCGTTTTATTTGCATGATTTGCATATTGGCTATTGAAGGCATACTGTGTCTGAATCTTAAACTGTGATTACATATTGAAAGTATAGTGATGTGTTACTCATTGAGATGGATGTAAACCAAATAATCATTTCATAAAGGTAACGTTCACCTTATTCTTAACTATGTGAAACCTGCACAGTTCCAGTTATTAAACTGAACATGACAAAATCAAAGCAAACACTGGCTGAATGCTTGTATATGAAAAACACTTGAGTTGTTCAGTCTGTGCTCATAATTTAAAGAGCATCAAGTGATGAACAAAGAAACTTTCCGTCCTTTGCAACACCGTTGTGAGCCTGTTAAACTCTATTAAAATGTCTAGGGTCATTTAGGGCCAACGGTGCTTAATACACTGCAAAGGTTAGGGCAACAATCAGCTATAGATGTTCGAACATGGCCATCACATTTGTTTTTTCTATTATAGAAACCTACCGAAAGGTGTCAAGCCGAGTAACACTCGTCACAGGTTCTGTTTGTTTCTACTACGGTGCACCTGCTTCGGAGGTGTGTTCTGGGAGCTAAATGAGAGCAAACCTCAGGAAGTAGTACCAGGACTATGCAGGGGGAGGATTTGCATACACACAGAACAGTCGCTGGTGATTTGGTTAAATGTCCACATATTCAGACCTTAAACATTAGCATTACAAGCACACTGTGTAAACACACAGTCAGCTGTGTGTTTGACAGAGGAGTGGCCCCTCCCTCCTCTAAATAGAAACTGACAGAGAAAATACAATAGAAAATACTGCATCAACCCCGGAGGCTATGCTTGCTGATGGTTAAGGGAAGTACTGGATATACCGTTTGTTAGGTACTGTATCATTGCATGCTAGAATCATGTCAAAATAAGATACTTGTATGTCAGTATTTTTTCACATTTCAGCCACAGACAAACACATTTATGAAAAAGTCTACATGTTAGACGACTCGGTTTAATGCTGGCACTACTCTGCATCCTTCCTATGAATCAATTATATTTATACTCTGAATAAAGTAGAATATTTAATAAAATAAGAATAATTTATTCTTCTTGCTTCAGCCTTAAACAATGATCTGCTGTCGAGTTAGTGACACACTAACTCACTGCCATGATTTAGAGGAGCTGAGAGCAGAGACGATATGTTTATTCATTGAAGCCATTATTTGCTGCATAGTGATATGATAGAAGGCTCACCAATAAAAATGATTTGTAATGCTCTCATTGCATGGAGCAAACCCTTATTTCCCCCAGGACTGAACTGATATGGGCACTCTGTTGCTGTTCAGGTAGACAACACTTAGAGAGTTGAATTTACAGAAGCTGATGGTCATCTCAGTTTTTTTTTCTCGGGCACCTGCATTATTTTACCCAGCTGAGTCAGGATGTTGATGCTGAGAGCATTCCTCAGCTTTGTCAAGTGATTTATATTGGAACGTCATCTGGGTTGAAGAAGGAGCCAGAGAACAGTTTGCCTTTTTCTGCCCTCTTGCAAGCCACTGTTTTATTAGAATGAAGTCGAGGAACACACAGCAGCAACAGAACACACTAACAAGTCCCGCCAAGTCTGAACTATATACAGCCTGCCCAGAGGGGCATTCTGGGAGGCCCCGCCAAAAGTCTCTCCCCTCTGGTATTATGGGGGATCCCGCCAGGTGTCTTTCCTACAATATGAAAACTGATGCGGTGCAGTATACAATCTGTGAAGCACACCAAGCTATTTTTCAGCAAGGTCGGGCTGCAAATGAGCAGAACACAAGAAGCCTTGCAATATATTGTTTTTAATTTTTACAAGTGAGTCTTTACCAATTTCTAATAATGTACAACTTCAGAATAAATGGTGCAGTTCTTGAGTTCATGTATTGCTAATACAGTACAGTTGCGACTCCAGGTATTGCATATTGTAGGACAGCAATGAAGAAAAATGGCAAAGAAATGACTAATTAGTTCAAATTCGTGTTATGAACTATTCTCCATGTCATGTAAATGGTGACATGACATGCTGAACTCATGTCAGACCATGACTGGATCTGACAGAAAGCCTTGAGGTCAGATGTTTCTGTGTGCGTCTCTGTGTTTGGACTCTTCTGGCAGCTGTCTTTCAGATCCTATTACTGTTAGTGTTGTGACATGTACCTTTTAAAGCTCATCTTGGATCATGAGCCATTATGTACTGTAAAATCTGGTCCACATAGTCTCCCTCTCTTCACTCCCATTGCTCTCATTCTGTGTCTTCATTAACTTATAAATTATCTGGCTGTTGGATTTTTACACTGTTTAAAATGTATATCTCCTGTTTTATTTGGGGAATGTCAACAATTTTTCCAGTCATGTTTTTTACCTTGTCCTCCAGATGTCTTGTTGTTGCCAGCAGCTGCTCCAGAACCTTGTCTCTGCAACACATAAACAACAAAGCGCAATACAGTTAGACTGTACATTGTCTTCAAAATGACATCTGCCAGACTTCAGCACAAGAATAGGCTACTTCCCACAATCCTGTCATCATATCCAACTGAGTTGAATACATGCCACTGCTCTGTGCCCTTCGCTAATTAAGCCTTGTCTTCATGATTGTTCTGACATATACTGGGGCTGAACTGCTACCTAATCTACTGGTACGCTCTCTGAAGTCTCCACTCTGGAGTGTTTAGCCTTTTGGGGTACCCTCACTGTGACCATCTAATCCCACTGCAGGGCCCTGTGACTGCAGAAAGGCCTTAAGACAGCACACAGTATGACCAAGAGTGAGACAATCCTCAAGACGTTGCTGTTTACTATAACATGGTGTTATGACACTACAAAGGTCAAAAAAATACAAACTTGAAGGAAAGCTAATGACCTAGGTGTATTGTACTGTATGCTTCATTGTGCTCATTGGCCCAGGGAAGAAAGTGGATAAAGTCCATTAGCATATATTTATGTAAGCTGTCAAATGCATCATCAAAAGTCCCCTAAAAAAAAAAAAGGTACTTTTTTGTGTTGAATACTGTAATGCTCTTTAAACAATGCATGCAAAGATCAGTGAACAATGTTATTTTCATCATTTAAAAACATCCTAATGCAGAGATATAAGCCAATGTCTGGGAAATCAGGCCCAGACGTTGTCCAGAGTTGCCCCTTTCACACATGTTGCACGCAACAGGAGACGGTCCGTATCAGACGAGTTCTCACCTGCTGGAACAACTCAGTTTGGTTTATTAAGGGGGGGCCTGGGAGGAGCGCACAGGAGGTGGGACAAGATGCTATCAAGTAGCCAATTTGTAATTTGGTTATAAACAACTGAGTCTCTAAATTTCTCTGAAAATTCTAGCAACAGCTCTTAATGACAGAAGTTCTTGAATCTTGTTGTATCTCCAGTTAGATATTTTCATTGGTGTCTTAATTGTAAATGACTTTTTCTTCACCATCGAATGTTTGTTTAATGACAGAATATCAATTAGAATACTATGGACTATACTCACCTGTATTCTCACACGGGATCACTCAGATCTGATATGTACTTTTTACTAGGGAGCTGGTAGGGTAAAGTCTGCTTAAGAGTCTGGGTTGCTTGACTTGGACATTTGCGTTCTCACATACAGCTGACCCAGGTAATGTCTAAAGGAGCACATGTCTGAGAAGGGCTATAGATACATTTTACATTAATGGAGACTATTAATGGAGGTCTATAATCATTTTAAACATCTTTGATGGAGCTCTGTGACAGACTGGCAACCAATCCGGGAAGTACCTCGCCTCTTACCCAGCTGGGACTGACTTTAGCCCCCCTCCAACCCTCAGAGATTATGGATGGATGGACATTTTTTATATATAAAAACATTAATGAACCAGTGTAGTGGTATCAATGTATTCTACTAAAAATATATGCTATACATTCATATTATTTTCACACTTTATGCATTTTTCATCCACATGGAGCTTATAGCCATTTTAGAAAAAAAAAAAAACTTGCACTAAATATTTCTCAAACTTTTCAAATGTGAGAATTCATAATAATTATACAGCACTGGTTCTTCTGGGTCATATAGTAATTATCATGTTCACACTGTTCTTTAAATTCACTCCACATTACAAGACACAGAGGTGTGAAAAATGAGCGGACTGGTCGATGTAAACAAGAAAATTACCTACTGTCCAGAAGAAGCAAACGCCTCCTCTACAAAGTCTCACCAGGTGTTGTACACACTCTTGTTCACTTCCAGATGTGACATTGCATAACAGCACAGCTACTCTTACATACTAATCCGGCAACATTTATCTAAATGTCTACTTTCATTGTCTTACAGCCATTTATTTCTCACACTTTATTACCTTTGTTCCAAACACACTGTGTTTCCTCTTATAGACTGCAAACAGGCACTGATCTCCAGAGAAATGGCACACAGAGCAGCAGTGTTAGTGTGTATTCCCATTTTATTCTGACATAGTTTGTCAGTGTGCACATAAACATAGCAGAGCTTGAAAAGTTTCATCTCATAATGAGATATCCACCCTCCAACTCTGCAAATATGAATGTTAAATTTATGATATAATGCATTTAAGTTTACTTTAAACTATTTAGCATGTTGTACACAGATTCTATAGGATTCATGTGGGTGCCAATGGTATTAAAGGTGTGGAAATGGTAAAGCAGATATTGCATTAGAGAGGAGTGCTGTATAGGGGTGTCACTCCATCACGAGGAGATGAGAACCGGATTGTAGTACTGCTTTTAGTATACAACTGAGCAACAGTGAACAGGGATAGCACAGTGAATGATAAGGGGGAATGGCAAAGAAAAGGAGCAGAAATAAGAAATGAGGAAGAGCTGTAAGAAGTTGCATCATAAGCTTCTTAATCACAGTATTACAGGTGGCACTGGACAAATGAGTTTGTTTTAAAAAGCATTTCCGTGCTGTCATATTTAGTAAAAAATGTATAATTCTGATGGGCAATAATTTTACACTATAAAAACTTATAGGTACTCATTTTTGGCTGTAATTTGTTATTGAAATTTTGTTTTCTTTAAAGACATCTTGGCAATCACACTTGAAAAATATGCTACAGGCACCAGTTGGTTAGCTTAGCTTAGCACTGAGACTGGCAACAGAGTGAAACAGTTAGCACTGTCCAAAGATTATAACATTGGCCTTTTTTATCTTTTTTGTTTAATGCATGCAAAAACCATACAGTAATGTAAAAAAATCTACATTTGTCATTCTACAGGGAGTTATGTGCCACATGTTTATGCCACAATAACGATACATGATACAGAAACTAACTTCAGAAAAATATATGGAACTACTCCGTTTTTTTACATAACACACATATTATCTTTAGAACTCAAATACAGACACAAATGATCTGATAGAACAGAGATTTTTTGCAGACCCTTTGCCACAGTATTGAGTGCTAATGCAGCTAAGAACCTGATAGCATCAGGTGATCCTCTTCTTTGCTGCTCCACCATCAGCCCATGCTAATTAATTCAGAGCATTAGCTAATCCTGTTTTAACTTGTGTCCTGTGTTTGGGACTACCTTGGTGGCTCATTTATCTTCATAGCAAAAATCAAACAGCAGCTGGGATTCAATGGCGAGAGGGAGTGCAAAAACTCCAAACTCCAGCTACCACAAATGTCCTCACAAACACATCAGTGTGTACATAATTTAAAAAACAAAAGCACCCCAGTGGAAATTTAACAGCAATCACTTTTGTGTTGTGGTTTCCATCTGAAACCACAACACACTGGAGGGTTGAACCTGGCTTGGGCAGATCGGCCCAGGGAAACAAAGTCTCTCATATGAAATTGTTACAAGAATTATAGTGTTGCACTCCTTATCAATAAATTGAATAGTTTGTCAGCTTCTATTTTCATATGTAGAGCTTGGGTGGGAGCTGTGGTGATTATGTTTTTCTCTCTCTCTCTGTAGTGAAGAGGAGGAAAGAAGAGAGGAGACGAGAGCAGGATCAATACCTCCCTTTGCAGTTAAGATCTACTTTTACAAAAATTGGCATTGAGAAGATAAATGACCAGAATTAGCACTCTCACTGCCTCCTCTAATCTGAACAGAAAAAAGACACAGTAGGTGGTTGGGGCTTGACTTCAGTTAGGTTTCCTAGCCCTGCCTGGTTCTGACCAGACATAAGAAATGATTAAGCTCATCTTGTTTGATTAATTTGTACAAAAACTGAACATTTGTAGTTTTAAGGAGGGCTAAAAATTGGATGAGGTGGAGGGGCCAGTTGATTTATTTATAACTTCTGTCTTTGTACAAATAAGATATAACATGGATATTAGTGACGTTAAAGTTGTGTTAAGCCAGAAAGCTAATCAAGCTGTACCACTGGAATATTTGTGTAGATATATTTTTAAGATAGCTAGAAATGGACAGGTTCTGATAGTTGGATTGTTTTACTGTTGCACAGTGTCAGGCTGTTTTTTGACTTTAGCCAACCTAATCATCATTTGGTTCCAGATTCATATTTGGAGTACATACTGTATAGTGTGCACCTCCAAAAAAATGGCACCCCATCCCAACATTCAACACGGCATGACGTACCTTCACATTCTCTAAGATTTTTTTTGTCATCATCAGAGCTTTAGTATAGAGTATACATAACTGTTTATTGTTGTTTTTTTTTTTATTGTATTTCAATAAAGCACTTTACATTGTTTTTTTTTTCCCCCAGTTTGAACAAAGTCAAAAGGAAAGCACTGGGAGCAGGCATGGTAAAAAGGGGAGGGAAATGGTTTCATTTCAGTAGCATGTTTCTGCCTCCTGAGGGGATTTAGCTCCAGCTCCTGTAACCACAACCTTTTCACAGCTATTTCAGATGTTTCCTATTTGCTCATGTCAGAAGGGTTTCCATGCTTTAATAGCTGAGAAGTTGTGTTATGTGTCCTCTTTTCTGGGATTCTCTTCCTGCATTATTAATTCAGTGCTTTCAATGAATTTCAAAGCGCGTGTGCATCACTTTGATGCTGGGACGAGGGACAGGGTGGACGAGGGTTTGAAGCATCCTCACAAGCTCAGTGCACAGCACATCCATGCTTTTTTGAGAATATACTTCTAAATAGAGGCTAGTATTTGATGTAGTTCTGAATTTTGTTTAACAAAAACTCATTACTTGGAGTGTGTAAGGTACATGCATGCAACTGCAGTTTACCTGTCATGCATATCAGAATGATACCTGTTCTTTCTATTCATTTGTCTGACAGAAAAAACCTGAAGTAACTTATTTATAAAATTGCTTTCTGGTTTTTCACATGACAGTCTCACAGCTGAGTTCTCTTCCTGTAGCTTCAAACAAATATCAGAGCTGGATGAGAGCACTGCTGTTACTAATCCCAGTTCAAAGAAAAGAGGTGACTTTCTCTATCAGCATCTTGTAAATGGCCATGAAATGAGCTA